ATGGGCTTGTCGCTCAGAGACTTCTGATTGGGCTGAAAGGTCCTTCACAACTTCATGTGTCCCTAGTAACCTGCGGAGGTAGAATAGGGCTGAAAAGTACTACTGAAGTAATGAAGTAATGACGAGAACCAAAAAGCTGGGTGCTGACACTGACAGAGAGGACGAAATATGACGCATTTGGATTTGGTTGATGAAAACCAGAGCAGGAGGGACATCATTCGGGGTTTTCTGTCAGTTCGGTGTTTGCTGTAGTAGATGGACACAAATAAAAATAGCAGTGGTTAGCGCTACCATGTACTTCCACGAAATCTTGGGTAAGGCTTGGTTAGAGACTAGTTTTCGCTATTTTCTATACGAAATGAAAAGCTCTTGGCCCTTCGCATACACCTTTTCGCTAAAGAAACGAGAACAACTACTCTCTAGAGATTGGAAAGTGATCAGAGCATGTCCGGGGTAAAGAGCATGTCCAGATAAAGATAGCTGCAGCGAACTAATCCCTAAGACATTCTTGGTCTCCTTTCCAACTCATGTCTCATAAGCATATTATTTCATATTTTAATAGAAGAGAGTGAGAAAAATAGCTCTGGATCAAGATCTAGTCTTATGCACAAACTTAAAGATCATGTGAGTTGTGATGTTGGGCTATTCATATTATGAGCTATTGCTAAAAGTTACTCTATCTATTTCAAATTATAAGATGCCTTTGACGGTTGTAGATATATAGTTTTGTCTATGTGCTTAGATATACACTATGTCTAGATGCACAGTAAAATGAATATATCTAAAAAAGGCAAAACGTTTTATAATTTAAAACAGAGAAAGTAATATCAGTGGAGGAGTTGTCTTAGAGCTAATAACTAGCTCGTATAGTTGAGGATGCCCTTATATACACATACTCCACCTTGCAGGGCCCAACATCTTCCGGCGCTTGGTCCTCAATCTCGACGGTCGGATGCAACCGCAACTGTTACTTAACCTGAGCAAATTGAGCCCGGCCCGGCCTAGGCCCGCCGGTTTTAGTCTGCCCATGACACGAGCCTTAGTGGACAGAGCCTAGAGAGAGGTCTAGCTGCCCAAGAATTTTTTTCTCGGACTGAGCCGAGCTCAAAGTGTTTCTTTTATTTGTTTTCCAACTAAAAAAAGATTTTAACTAAATGCACTGGAAAACACACACACACACACAAAGGTTGTGCTTTGCGGAGCAATAAAAACTATTGATATGGATGTAGGAAATATATAGATGAACTGATAAACTTATCACGACCAAAGATATTGCAAAGTATCTATATGCACATTTGTGCAATTATCAGATCTCAAAATAAACTTTCACAAGAGCGAAGTTTTCTGCTTTAGGAAAGCCAAAGAATATGAATTGCAATATTCACATTTATTTGGTTGTAAAGTGGGCATATCTCTTCCGATACCTCAGGCTGCCAATGCGTTACATAAAACTAAATAACAAAGATTGGAAAGGTGTCGAGGAAAGAATTGAAAAGAGGTTGCCTAGTTGGGAAGAAAAAAATGTTTTCTATAGGGGATGACCGGTGTTGATTGTATTCTGTCCAATTTACCATAGTTTATGCTCTCATTTTTTTTAGAGTACCTAAAGGGGTACTTAGGAAAATTGAGTACTATAGAAGTAATAAAGTTAATATGGAGGTGCAGCCTGTTGTTGGTCAATATGGCTTACAAGAAATAAAGTTACTCTTGGCAAATGCTAACCTAAAACTTTTTTACAGGTCTTGTTTAGGGGAACGCTTTAGTTACAACACTGGGCGCAGCTACAACTGTGCGATGACAACAAAGAACATATTTACCAAGTGTGTCAAGAGCTAGAAGCCGTGACTAGGTAACTCTTTGCTTCCTTTGGATGGTGAAATAATGTTAGAATTGAGTTTTAAATTAAACGTGTTTTATGTTAGTTTAATCTTCTGTAATAAGTGGTCTGATTCCCTTAGTTCCAAGTGGTGAAGCCAGATTTAATTCTTTTATGTAAAAAACTATACATAGTGTTAGAAAAATGAAAAGATAGTAAAGCAGGTAAGTAATGTTTTAAGTTGTAGGTACTAAACACGAACTTCTTTGGCTTATGCCTTCGAAATGTTGTGACCCACAGCCGGGGCTGATGGAGTATACAAAGAGGAAACCATAGAATTCAGGGTCTGAGTATCTGACCAATGAAGCATGAAATCCATCCCGGCCTAACAACTACCGGTTCGGCAACAGGCAGGTATCGATAACGATCGCAAAAGCAATGCAAACTTGCATGCTTGCATGCAATGAAAAGGCAGGGCACAGTTTCTTGCAGATGGAGCTATCTGCCGAGCTTTGCTGAGCTCGACGCATCGACCCCAGACCCCTCCAAACGCGACAGAAAGCCACTGTCCCATGGTTTCCATGCAACTTTTTCTCCTGCTTAGTGCTTACTCTATCCACAGGTCCGTCCATAGCAGTTGTTGAGATCGAATGCTGGTTTGGATCCTTTCGGTTGCATTGCATGAGCAGGAGCCGTTGCGATGGAGCCATGATACCTATCCTCCTGCCTCACTGAAAACAAGTCCAAGTGTGTCGAGTGTCTGACAAGCTGCAGGGTCAGGCCATGTGATGAATCTCGCTAACAGAGGCAGAGGCCATTAGATCTGATGACTGTCAGCCTAATGACCTATCATCCATTGTGTCTGTGCCTCTAACACATTAAGTATCTACAGTTTCTGCTACAGCAGCCACGTTGATATAGTTTATCCTGATCTCAAGTCTGCTAGTGAGATTCTTCGTCGTTTTGTGCAGTCACACGTGCTCTCGTCGTCAGTGAAACATACACAAGTATCCGATTGGAGTCAGGATTCATGAAGAGCTTGGCCATGCCGTTTACCTCGAAACCCTAAATAAACAGCTGCGTGCATTTCCTGTCTACTTGACCAGCAGATTAATCAACACTATAATCCTGCCAGGTCAAACTAAACCTGCCTAGTAACTAGCAGAAAGGAATCTCGAATCATCATCATTTCAAAGATCAATACAATTACTTTCGTTTCAGTTGTCCCATGTACTTGCCTAGAAGACACTCCACTGTAGAGCCTACACTGCAGTATGAGTTGCATTTGCTGCAACTTGCGAGTTGCTGAGGTAGCTGCAAGCAAGCAGCCCCAACTTGGATACTCCCAGTATTCATCATGCATCATCTTCTTCTTCTCCAAAGGTTGGTGTGGTCCAGTTAAGTGACAGTATGCTGTGCAACTAACTCCTACTACGGCACAGAGCATGGAGCTCAGTCATCTGCAAAATGGCCAGCAGTTGCAGGGTTTTATTGTTAGTAGATGGGTTAGCTGGCCATATACTTTTCAGCAATCATTAAGAGGTTACTCCTACTAACCATCAGCCTGGAAACGGCTGCTGCTGGAAACCAGCTGGTACAGGAACAACCAGCCAACTAACCAGCTCCAGCCAACAGCTGCCATTTGCTCATTTAAAAAAAAATGGCGCCAACACCACATCCAGTCAACTGATGGTGCCAAACCACAAGCCATTCAAATTACAATACAGCAGCTGAAATAACAGTTTGTTAGGGACTACTAACAGTCCATTAGAAGCTAGTCCACTAGCAGTTCAGTACACATAACAGGTCCATACAAGCCATTATACAACAGTTCAAATTACACACAACAGTTCAAATTACCCTTCTTCACAAACATGACAACTTCTTTACAAACATGACAACTTTCAGCAGGAAACTGTACCACAAGTAGCAGCAGCAATCGGTTCTATGAGTAGAACAACTAAAATTGCCAGAACTTCAGATAGTTTCATGTTCAGACTGTGACACAGCTCTTACAAACCCCATGTTAGTGGTCAAAGTAGGAGCCCGCCAATGGTCACCTGTGCCAAGGTCAAAAGCAAGCCCCAACACACACCGGGTATGATAAGCAAAAGCAGTTTCAATTATCTGCCAATTTACAATACATTGTAACTACACAGATGACAGTACCAGTTCTACCAATTTAGGATGTGTTTAGTTCGCGAAATAAAAATTTTTGATGTCACATCGGATGTTTCGAGGATGTCGAAAAGGGTTTTCGGATACTAATAAAAAAAACTAATTACATAGCTCGTCTGAAACTACGAAACGAATTTATTAAGCCTAATTAACCCATCATTAGCACATGTTAGTACTGTAGCACTTATGGCTAATCATGGACTAATTAGTCTTAAAACATTCGTCTCGCGATTTCCAACCAAACTGTGCAATTAGTTTTTTTTGTCTATATTTAATACTCCATACATGTGCCGTAAGATTCGATGTGATAGTTTGAATTGAAAATTTTTTGAACTAAACTGGACCTTATATTGAGCTCGTTACTAAACTTATACTGGGCCGCCGGTAGAGGAGTACTTTGTGCATCTACAATTCTACATATATCACTCAGGGGCCCATGTTCTCCCACCTTCCCTAGTTACTGAGCATCAACGGGACAGGTTACTTCAAGGGGCATATGAACATGACAGGTGAGAGGACACCTGTCTCGCAGTGGGGAAGGGTGCCACAGTAATCTGAGTGGAAGTCTGCCATCTTTTTGCTGCACAGCAGTACACAAACAAGCACGAGATGAGTAAACACGAGAATATTCCGGCGCAAGTACAAAGTTATGGGCTTTATGTGTGTGTTCTGCACTGCCAGCCTGCCGGGATTAACGTCAGTCATGAAATTGAAGCTGTTTGGCTTATAGTTAAGCTGAAGCTGTTTTATCGTGAGAAAAATACTGTAGATAATTCTAGTTGATAAGCCGGTTGATAAGTTCAAGTGAACAGAACCGAAATATACGGCACAAAATGATCCAGATGAAGTTCACCCAAAAAGATGTTTTTTTTTGTATTTTTGCATGACTGGTTGTTCGTGGAATGATTTCACCAGCAAAATTCTACCAAGCCGCTAATCAACAAGGTGAAGCTAGACATACATGTGTGTATGCGTGTGTGTCGGTTGTCTGTCTACTACTGTATGATCAACTGTCGCTGTGTTGCCTCGTGTTTTCGCTGGCATGATCGTCCTTGCCCGCCGGGGCCCACGGCAGGCCGTCGTTGGCGCAGAGGCCACCGGGCAGCCGCTTGCTGCCGCGCCACTGCCAGATCTTGGACACGGAGAAGCTGTCGCCGCGCGCGAACACCTTCTTGCCCTGGTGCTGCTCGTCGCCGCTGCTCACCGCGGTTACTGCGGCGCTGGTGCCGCACGCGGTGCCCGCATTGCCGTGCCGCAGGTGCACGGACACCAGCAGGTGCTCGTCGGCGAGCACGTACTGGTAGGAGCCCATCGAGTAGCACCTCCGCCGGTCGATGCGGCTGGTGGCGCCGGTGCTGGAGCTAGACTCGGCGGCGGCGGCGTCGGCGTTCTTGAACCGGCCGAGCCTGACCGGGAGCACGACGCTGCTGCTCGCGGCCTCGGCGGCGTCTGGCGCCGCCTGATCCTGCTGCGGCTTCTGCTCCTCGACGTCCGGGCCGACGGATGATGGCTGCGCGTCCGCGGCGAGGTGGCGCGCGGAGAGCTTGGTGCGGCAGAGCGGGCAGGTGGCGCTAGAGCGGAGCCAGACGTCGATGCAGGCGACGTGGAAGGCGTGGCCGCACAGCGGGAGCAGGCGGAGCCGGTCGTGGTCCGCGAACTCGCAGAGGCAGACGGCGCAGTCGAACGGCCGGGCCGCCTTCTCCTTGCCCTTCCTGCTGGCGGCGGCGGCGGTCCCGGACAGCTCGCCGTACGCGAACTCCGGGAGCGCGTCGATGGCGGCCTGGCCGAGGCCGCCGCCGCCGCCGCTGGAGCCGGCGCCGTCCTCGTGCGCGGGGAAGAAGAGGTGCTGCAGCTGGCGCTCCCCGGCGCCGGCGCTGGCGTGGTGGCTCTTGAGGAAGAGGCGCCGCAGGACGTGGAGCAGGCCGGAGACGAGCAGCACCACGGCCAGGACCACCGTGATGAACAGCACTGCCGGCGTGATCCTCGACGCCGCGGCGGAGGCGGCGGACGGTGGCGGCCGGGCCCCCCTCCCGGTCGTCGTCGCGGGGGCGTCCATCGCCGGCGCCGGCGCGGGCGCCGAATCCTCCAGCAACACGCGCGGCATTGTAACGCCTCCGCCATCGAAGCCGCCGCGGCCCAAGAAGTGCGCATTGGCGCCGCTGCCCCTGATGTCGCGCGCAAGAAGAAACCTGCCGCCGGCCCTCCTCAGTCCCGCCGCCGCCGCCATCTTGGTCTTCCTGCTGGTGCCCCTCTCGCTCCCTGGCTCGCCACCAGTGCAGCCGCACTCATCCGCTGTCCGGCCTGGGCAGTGGCAGCTATATAGACGGCGGAGCGATGTATCAGGTGAGGTCGAGCGATCAGGCACCAAACCGGGACAAGGAAGCCATGGCCAATGGAAGGAGTAGGAAGCACCAAGCAAGTCAACCAGGGACCGGGAGCGGGCAAAGCTAAGCTTCGGAGAAGCTTTGGATGGATATGGTATATAATAATATGGCGCTCGCAGGCAGTCGCTGGTACCAACTCGCTCGTCGCACGCAGCCGTATTGGTGCGTGGTAGGCTAGCTGATCGTGCTGCGGTTGGGCCGTTGGGGAGGCGTTATCTATTGCGCGCGGCCCCGGCCCGCCTCGGGTCTTGGAAGTGGAAAAAGATGCGGTGCCGCCGCGGCGGCATGTGAAGCCTGAGAGCTGAAGCGCTGTCTCGTGCCTGTGCTGCTGGAGTGCTGGTGCGCAGCGGTGGCAGCCGGCGCGGCGGGGTTGGGGTTTGGGTTGGGCTCCTGTCCTCGCTTGGGATGCACGGAAAGCGCGAGGGAATTAAGAGGGAACAGCACGTCAGCGTTGGAGGTGGTTGGGCCGATGGATCATGGACGCCTGATGGGCGCCCCTGCCCCTGCCTTCCCCTGTACACCGCGCCAATGCATCGCCGTGGCTGGAATTTCGGGGCGACACCATAATAACCATAAATGGCCGCGACAACGACACGGGTAGTTTAGGGCTCACGGACGCCACGCCACTCGCCATCCATCGCCACGGGATGACTAGGCGTGCGTGGCCACCGTCGAATCGACGCTGCCCGCCCGTCGCATCGAACGGCTCTCGAATTTCAACAGCTTGTTCCTGCCGCCGGGACCCCTAAACCCTTGACAAACCTCCATTCCGTTCGTCCCCTCTCGAGTTTTCCCACGGCGGATTGGGTGTCCCGGTTCATTCCGCGGCGGGTGCGCGCCGCCACCCCGGGCGCCCGTCGTGTACCGCGCCGGGTCAGCATCGCGAGCGCCGTACGTGTCAGGACGGTTGGGGTCGATGGTGCACGGGCCAGCAGGGCCCAGGGGTTCGGTGATGACGTCGATCTGACCCCGAACCGAACGTCGCCGCCGCGCACTGCTGGAGCTGGAATCGAGCCACGCCGCACGCCACAGGCATGAGCGCCAGGCCATCATCAGCACGATTACTGTAGCTCGCGAGGCACACCGCCGGGTTCGGACAGCGGAGACAGAGATTCATCAGGGCCAGCCGGCCAGGGGTGGTTGGCTGCTGCGCCATGGCTAGCGCTAGCTTCCAGTTCCACTGGCCCCCCTCGTCGTGTACGGTTACTGTGCATGTATCCTGGCTGCCTGGCTGGTGTGTTAGGTTTATGTGCTGCCAATTAGTCAAACCCCAGTCTGGTTTATCGGTAACCCCCCTGCGCCGCAGCTTGTTGTTGCGTGCATCTTGGCTGCGCGTGTGCCTGCATTATTGGCCGGTAGGCACGCAGAGGCAGCCAATCAGCCATGCATGCATGATTACGTTTTGGTGCATATGGAAACATGCGTGTGGAAACACAAGCGAGGGATAGAGATGAGAGAGAGAGACCAATTGTCGATCGCAAGTCAACTGTAATCCCCCACACTTATATGATTTGGCGCATATTTGTAGGTTGCGCCATTTTCGTTTTATCCTTTTTTTTATTATTTTATCTTCGGGATTGGATTATCTAGTACGCACAAGATAGAATGAAGTAACATGCTAACGCGTTGGGTTTGTAGTGTGCGCCATTCATAATTGGATAAGGTCATCATCAACGACGACCAGGCGCCGTCGTCCTGAATAAATACATGTATTTTTCCCTGTTCGCTTGGTACGTAATTAATGGATAAATTGATCCTCGCTCGTCTTCTGCTGTTAAGGTTTTCGATTAGATAAATTTCTTCTTTTTATATGGACGTTGTTGACTATAAATGCTCGATAGACTTTCATCACGAAGAATCTTGTGTATCACCATGTTGGCACTACCGAGAGATATCAATTTCGGTAACGCTAGGAAGCTGGATGATGGGCCGCGACACCAGCCCAACAACCTTTTGCTCCTCCGTTTATTAAAAAAAACTGCTCGTCCACTTATTACTATACTTGTTCCTATCGCTCCTATCCGCTCGCCTGTTGCCTCTGAAGGTAGCGCTCTGCTCATCCACTTATTTCTATCCACTTGTTCCTTTCGCTCCTATTTTCGCTCGCCTGCTGCCTCTGAGCGCAGCGTTTGGCCGCTTCCCTACTAGGCACGACGCGCTCAACGCTCGGCTAACGGCCGCTACCTCCTAGCCGCATCATGGGGCCGATGCCTCCCTTCTGCGCCGTGCGGCCGATGTCTCCCTTCCGCGTCGTGTAGCCACCGCCGCCATGCCGCCACCTCCAAGCGTCGCTGGACTGCTACCTCCGGTGAACTCCACACACTAACATGCCTCCATTCTCTCGGACAGCAAGGAGATGTTGCGCTGCGCTGAAAGCGCATGTTACAAATATATGTTTCAATTGTTTCAGAGGTATGTTGCAAGTGCTACATACGGATGTTACAAAAGTAGATTGGGATGTTTGCACATGTTGCACATGTTGCAAGTGTTTTAGATGAATGTTGCAAGTGTATTATTCCAATTGTTTCAGCTGTTTCAGACGTATGTTGCATGTGTTTTATCTGGGTGTTGCATATGTTTCACACATATGTCACAAGTGTTCCATCCGGATGTTGCATATGTTTCACACATATGTCGCAAGTGTTCCATCTGGATGTTGCATATGTTTTGCAATGTCTACACACATGTTTTCCTAGTGTTTCAGACATATGTTGCAAGTGTTTCAATTATTTTGAACGTATGTTGCAAGTGTTTCATCTAGATGTTGCAAAAGCAGATCTGGTGTTGCACATGTTGCAGTGGGACCCATATGCAGCAGCCACCTGCTGCAACTACTAGGCCCGTCTATATGCGTGTGGGTGTGGAGGGGGGCACCACAGTGTGTGGGCGCGGGACACAGAGCAACACGGGACACAAAGCGTGCCCGGGACATGGTGCGGGCGCGAGACGCGGAGCGGCATGAACCACGGTGCGGGCGCGGGACACAAAGCGGCGCGGGCCTCGACGTGAAGTAGGCGCAGCAGGCACGGGCGTCCGGAAGGTAGCCCTGTTCGGACGTTCGGGTGCTAGACTGGCCCTATCAATTTTTGTGTGGTTGTCTCCGGTAGGTCCTCAACTCTTAAAGTGCATTTTTAATTAGTTCATTAAACTTGTCTTTGTGTATCTAGGCTCCTAACTTTTCTTTAATAGGGCAGGAACTTAATGACAAAGCGATCGTTAGTCTACTCTTCTGCCTAAGGAGCACTATCTTTGGCTTTATCACCACCACTACTGATGAAGTTGTGGCCTTTGATGTGGAGAATGATATGATGAAGACATGGGGTGAGGATAGTGAGTTGGTAACAGATGCCACACTAGATTGGAACAAACAGAGAGGACGAGAGCTAGAAGAGAGAGGGAGAGTGTAGATGGAGCGCTACAGACCAATATGGGGGGGGACTCGTTTGAATATACATGACACTAAAATGATTTTTTTTAGTTTTGGACCTGAATGACACCCAAGACAAGTTCGGGCAAACCCAGTGCCTGAGGCTCCCACATAAGTGGGGTCTGGGAAAGGGAAAAAGCGAGGCAAGCCTCCCCGCAAAACATGCGGAGAGGCTGCTTCGAACTCATGACCTGGTGACTCAATGAGACAGCTCTCACCACTGCACCAGGCCCGCCCTTCCAAAAAAAAATGAAGTTAAAGAGTTCAGGGACCGGTAACACTACAAGACAAGTTTAAGGAATGCTTGTGCATTTTACTCTTTTTTCTTATTTATGAAATAGTCAACGTGTTTCTAGCGTAATATGGATATCTTTTCAATAGTGAAGATAAGTCACCAACAAACATTAGAGCAACTCTAGTGCAGTCTTGGTAAACTGAGGGAAAGAGAAAAGCCATCATGTTTTCAATAATGCGTACAGAAAAGCCATCATGGTTTTTAATAATGCGTACAGAAAAGCCATCATGGTTTTCAATAATGCGTACACGAAATCTCCATAAATCAAACCCAAAAGACGGTTTGAAACTATCGCAACACTACTACATAAAAGGGTTTGTAGGGGCCGCTCAAGACCATTTGTAGGGGTGGTTTGGCCAACCGTTCCTACCAAACCGTCTCTACAAATCATATGTATTTGTAGGGGCGATTTTAGAACCCCCTTACACCAGCCATCTTTATAATACCTGTTTGTAGGAGCGATTCAATCTAGAACCGTCCCTACAGTATGTTTTCCCGCAAAAAAAATTTAAATTTACAATTCAAATTCGACCAGAACATACATATGGCCCTGTTTGTTTCCCGCGTTTGCGTTCGCGTTCGCGTTGCGAGTGAGCGAGGAAAGCGAGATGAGGAAAATTAATTAATGGCCCATGTACCCATAAATAATTAAAATACATATTTGTTGATTACAATAAATAATTTCAAAGACAACAATTATATTTTACCTAATATCTTTCATGCAAACCCTAGTCCAATTTCATCAAACACAAATTTATAAAAACGAAATTAATAAAAAAATCAAACCATAGATCTAGATCTACATGCACATGAAACATTCATAAAACTAACTAATTGTTTATTAAAATCAAGAAACATGGACCAAATAAGGGTATGATCTTGTTCCCCTACCTAATTTACTCTAGTATATTCAAAACTTGGGTCTAATTTGCTTCATAACTAGCTCAAGCACCATAGAAGAGAGAGCAAAATAAAACTCTAATTACTCACTAACCAACTATTAAAACTTAAAAAAAATATATGGAATAACATTTTCTTACCTTCTACAACCTTTCCACCAAAAGATTTAGGACCAAAACCTTTCCCCCTTAATAGAGCAATTTTTGGGAGGTGCTCAAGAC